TTATTTTATTGTTTTTGATGAAACAGTGAATGGAACTGTTTTCTTAATTCCTCTGACAGATAGTAGTAGTTGAAATACCAAAGATTTTATACATTGATTTTGTACGCTGCAAGTTTACTGAATTACTTTATTAGTTCTAACAGTTTTCATATATCATGTCTTCTGCAAACAGAAAATTTGACTTCCACCAGAGAATATAGTAACATATGTTTAACATATAACATATAACAATATTACAAATTAGGTTAATCCTTTAGCTCACATATGCTTTTTAATACAAGTGATATATAAATTAATAATACATTACAAATGTCATAAATAAGAATGCTACAAACAGATATGAATTATAATGAAATCTATTAATATCCTGACATCATGTCCAGCCACTTTGAACATTGTTTGCCACCCCTGGGAGGGTCTTATGCTCTTTCATCTAATTTATTGCCATCATTCCTTTAGAGCTCAACTCAGGTTTTAGCTCACCCAGCAAATTTTCCCTGACTTCCCAGGCTAAGTCAAGTCCCCTGTTATACTTTCTCATCATACCATGTAAGTCTTCACGGTTACAATTCCATAGCAATGTGTCTTTTCACTATCTTTTAGTTCTGTAAAATCTCTGATAACAAGGACTTAACTATCTTATTTTCTATTTTATTCCTAAAACTAAGCTCAGAGGTTTACAAAATGAATAAATGATTATGAAATAATTATTAGAATTTTCTGGCTTATCTACACAAAAAAAGAAACATGCAAATTGACCATCACTTCGCTACACCCACCAGTCAATCAGAAGTGAGTATGCAAATTAACCCAACAAAGATGGCAGTGGCCCCACCTCCCACCCCCAGCCGCTCCAGGCCTTTGAGCAGCATGCATGCAGGCACAGAGTGGCCAGGCAGAGCAGGACACCTGCTATGAGGGGGAGGGCTGGGGGCAGAGGGCGGAGGGCAGAGGGAGCTATAGGAGCTAGAGCAAAGACTGAAGATGGCGGCCAGAGGGAAGGCCTGGGTCCCTGGTGCTGGAGGAAAACCGGTGCCAGCAGCCAGGGGATGGAAGGCCTATTTCACAAATCTCTTCATGCAATAGGCCTCTAATTTACTTAAGTAAAATAGAATTGCAGACTTATTTTTTTAAGACCACCATGTTGCTATTTACTAATTTTTCTTATGGTATTTAAAATACAATTAACTTTTCTGTTAAGGTAAGTTAAGATAATGCAGAAAATTCTATTAATAAATATAAAAGGCTAATGTGCAAAGTGTCCCCTTGGAGTTCAATGGGGAGTTCAATCACTTGCTATGACATGCACTGATCACCATGGAGTAGTGCAGATTGAAGGAAGGCCCTGGTTATCAGCTGGAAGGCCCCAATTGGCCCTGATCTCTGGCCATGCCTAGGGACCCTACCCATGCACAAATTTCATGCACCAGGTCTCTACTTTCTTTATCTTTATAAGAAACATTATTATTTGACAAGCCAACTTACTTTCTTTTGCCTAACAGTGTCCATTTTAAATAAGATTTGCTTCTGCTTAATACAATATTCCTTTCATGATCAGTAGTAAAGAAACTACCAAGCAATGAAATAGAATAAATTTTTTAAAAAGTACTTTGGCCTTAAAAGCCTTTTCACAGTATAACACTAAAAAGTTAATAAATATTATATAGAAGAAAAGGGGATGGAGGAAATTCCACACAGGCACTGAAACAAGAATAATACATTTTGCTTGCAAATAACATTTCTATTAATACTTTATTTTCTTCACAAATCAATAGAGAATAATAGAAACTATTTTGGTAGCTTTTCAAAGAAACATAGAAATATTCCTTAAAGTCTGCCTAGCTCTGTTTTATACTATCTCACTCACCTTTGAGAGAACTGCTTATCCCTCCAACATTTCTATGGTTCTGATGGGGCTGCTATTGTGGTATCCTCATTTCCATTTGACAGACAAAAATTTTATCCTATTCTCCTCAATACAGGGGGCACACATAATCTTAGCAGGAGATTAGAGATGGGAGGAGGGGGTTTCTTCTCCCATTAATGTATATAAAAGAATAAGCAACTGTTTGACCAGTAGCTAAGACACACACTGACCACCAGGGGGCAGATACTCAACGAACAGGCAAGGACACATGGAACAGACTGATGAATCTCAGACAGAAGGGGGAGGCGGGAGGACAGGATAAGATTAACCAAAGATCTTATATGCATACCAGAGGCCCAGTGCATGGATTCATGCACCGGTGGGGTCCATTGGCCTAGCCTGCACTCCCTCGAAATCCAGGACTCCTCATGGGATGTTGGACTGCTGGTTTCAGCCCAATTCCCGTAGGCCAGGCCAAGGGACCCCACTGGTTCATGAATCCCTGCACTGGGCTTCTAGTGGTTAATAAACTAAGCTTGATCCCAGAATTGTCAGCAAGCAAAAGAGAATGACATCCAATGGGAAAGATGGAATGAGAAAGAACAATTCTAGGTGATATTTTCTTCTCTAGATTCAGAAAAATCTAGAAACTAGTTCTAGTCCTTGCTGTACCATGGTTTAGTCATCAAATAAATCCCTCCCTACCCCCCCCCCTTTTTTTTTTTTTTTTGCTTAAACTAGCTTAAGAGTTGTCATTTATGACCCAAAAGTCCCAATACATTTCCTATACTCATTTAGGCTTGATAAACAAAATATAAAAATCATAGTGTGTTGTTTTTGTTTTTTTTTAACTGCCTTGTTTTTACAAATCTAAGTAATGTTATATCATAAATGCTCCTTCTCTCCTGCAATTATTTTTCAGGGTTTTTGTTTGTTTGTTTGTTTTTTAAATATATTTTATTGATTTTGTACAGAGAGGAAGGGAGAGAGATAGCTAGAAACATCGATGAGAGAGAGTCATCTATCAGCTGCCCCTTGCACACCCCCTACTGGGGATATGCCTGCAACCAAGGTACATGCCCTTGACCGGAATCAAACCCGGGACCCTTCAGTCCCCAAGCCGACGCTCTATCCATTGAGCCAAACAGGTTTTGGTTATTTTTCAGTTTTATTCCGGTATAATTGACCAATAGAGGTTGTATATATTTAAGGTGTACAACTTGATTTTCTAAATATATAAGATGGTGAAAGATCACCACAATTAAGCTGGTTAACATATCCATCATCTCAGAGCGTCCCCCTCCCCCATACAATTTTAAATAAATACAAGTAAACCTTTAAATAAGCATAAAGTATATGTATTAGTTTAAGTTGTTATATGTAAATAAAACAAAAATATATAGTTCATATATATGAAAATGACACAACTTGAAGATTTAAAAATGCTACATTATTGTAGATATAAACACTGTATACTTAGGATACTCTAAATTTACAAAAAAAATGTTTTTTTTCTAGTAATAATAAATTAACCTTAGTTTACTGTATTACTTTTACTTTACCATATAAATTTTTAAATTTTATAATAACTGCTTAAAACACAAACACATTATACAGTTTACAAAAATATTTTATATTCTTATTCTGGTTTTTCTATTTTTTATTTATTTATAAGGTATAGATTTTTTTATTAAAACTTAAAACACAAGCATACACATTAGCCTAGGCCTAAACAGGGTCAGGATCATCAATATCACTGTCTTCTACCTTCATATCTTGTCCCCCTGAAGTAACATGGATGGAATTATTTTCTGTGATAACAATTATTTCTTCTGGACTATTTCCTGAATGATCTGCCTAAGTCTCTTCTTGAGGTCTCACTCTTCAGAAATAGGTCTATTTTTTTTTTCTTTATTTTTTTTCTCGTAGATTTGATTAAAAGCAGATAATGTACAATGAAGATTCCTTTCTATTCATGAAAACCTTTTGGTGTTACAGTTCAGATTTTCAAACTTTTTAAGAAGCTTGATGTGGTCTTCAAAAGTTTCCACTACATCCTGCACTGAGAATTTACTTCTTGTTTCACCTGCAATTTCCTTTTCTCTTTCCTCTTCTTCATCTATACATTCCTGTTCCAGTTCCAGCTATTTCTAATTAATCAATTCTTCAGGAACCACCTCTAGGAATTCCTCAATGTCATTCTCATCCACATCCTGTTAAAGTTGTTTGCCATCTCAACTGTAGCCTTGGAGAATTTTGCAACTTCTGCAATAAGTTACTAGGCAACAGTAATTTTTTAGCTCTATTATAATATTATGGAACCACCATCATACATGCGCTTTGTCAATGACCAAAACATCATTATGTGATGCATGACTGTACATAAAAATAAATATATAAAACAGTAAGAATTTCACAAAATGGTACCTATTCTAGGTGAAGTATTAATTTTTTCTATTTTGTCTTATAATGTTGATAAATATTTCAAAACCCACCCTTGTGATGTAGTGCAATTTGAGGCACACAAAAAGCAAATTAAGTTCTGACTTTTTCTGCCATGTTTCAATGACCACTCATCTGTTTTCTGCCCCTCAGACAATTGTTGAAATCTTTCATTCACTGATGAGTCTCCCCTCTTTTCCTTTCACTATATACTTCTCTCTTTTTACTTCTTTACTATAATTTTAGTAGGATCTAGAAGGGTAAAAACAATAAACACAAGGTCTGCATCTGATATTTAACTCAAAGCCCTCTACAAGTATTTTTTTTAAAAAGTGAGTTTCCTAACCTCTTTCTGGCTGATTTAAGGTCCCTCTGCTAATTATGATGGCCTTAATTGCTGTATTCCTGGAGTAACCATTACAGCTTCCCAAGGCAATCTAAGGAATTAAAAAGGAAAGGGGAAGAAAAAGGAAAGTGCTGATACCAATAGTAAGAATCTATATAACAATTCCATTTAACTGTAAAACTAAATGTAAAATTGTGGTTAATTATTCGAAATTAAACATAAATACTTAGGAAAAGGAAATTTCTTTTTGAGGGAAAACTTTAGGAAAGGTGTCTTCCACAAAGAAAATAATCAAAAAACAATTTTCAAATACATCATGATAAGTAAGTAATAAAGAGTACTTACAAGGCAAGGCTACTCAAAACATATTGTACGTGCTCACATTCATCTGGGAATGATGCACTAGCGGATGTAAAACAGGAAAGTGCAGTCTGAAGAACTTGAAGTTGGGGCAAAGGGACTTGCCATCTTCCAGCATAATCTTCAACCACCTGATAGGGAAAAAAGTATATTATTATATAAAATGTCCTCAACTTCCCCAGTTTAAAAATTTTAATAAAACTAATTATGGAACCACCAAAACATTTTAAATTTGACTAAAATCAGTTATGCCTGAACATAAATGATGGGGGGTGGGGGAGTATTATTTATTTTCATTGTGTATTATCTAAAAATAAAATTAACTATTTTCTTTGAAAATTTGGAAAAGAAATCTATAAATATAAAAGCCTAAGCAACCATAGCAACCAAAACAACAGAAGAGATGACCAAACAGGCTGTGTGGGACGACCAGGCTGGTAGAGGGCTTAGTGAGGGACAACCAAATGACTGAACAGCAGGCTGCATGGGGTAACCAGGTCAGCAGGGGGAGGCAGTGACAAGCAACTGGGCCAGCAGAGGGGGGCAGTGACAGGCAAACAGGCTGACTGGGGGAGGGGGGCAGTCGGGGCAACTAGGCCTGCAGGTTAGGCAGTGAGGGGCGACCAAATGACCAAATAGCAGGCTGCATACATAGGGTGATCAGGCTGATAGCGGAGGCAGTAAGGGGTGACCAGACCGGCAGGGGATGGCAGTGAGGTATAACCAGGTTGGTGACCAGGCTGGCTGGGGGGAGGGTAGCTGGGGCCAACCAGACCAGTAGGGGAAGGGGGAAAGTTAGGGACAACCAGGCCTTCAAGGGGGAGCCACTGGACGTGAAAAGGTCAGCAGATTGGGCCATTGGGGGTTACCAGGCCATTGGGGGAGGGGGACAGTTATGGGTAATCAGGCAAGCAGGCAGGTGAGCAGTTAGGAGCCATTGGTCCCAGATTATGAAAGGATGTCTGACTGCAGGATATCCACAGGGATCGGGCCTAAACCGGCAGTTGGACAGGACATCCCCCGAGGGTCCTGGACTGCAGAGGGTGCTGCTGGGCTGAGGGGACCCCTCCTCATGCACAAATTTCATACACCAGGCTTCTAGTTTCCTATCTAATTAAAGAGTAATATGCAAATTAACCATCACTCTGCTACACCCACAAGCCACACCCATCAGCCCATCAGGAGTGAATAAGCAAATAAACCAAACCAAGATAGCTACAGCCACAGAGAGCAGGGGGAGGCTTGGGTTTCCCCAGAAATGGAGGAAGCCAAGCTTTCCGCACACCCTGGCCTGCCTTGGCCTCTGCTATAGGCTACAAAGTTTCAATTGTAGAAGATAAATAAATCCCAGATACCAGGGCCTCTGCTTGGGTCACCAGAGGGCATGGCCAGCCTGCAAACCACCATATGCCCCTCACCCAGGCCACACCACGCCTCAAGGGAACCACCACCCTGATCTGGAAAATCCTTCAGGGCAAACCAGCTGGTGCCCACCCAGCAACAGGCCTCTATCCTATTATAATAAAAGAGTAATATGCAGATTAACCATCACTCCAACACACAAGATGGCTGCCCCCATATGGAAATAAGATGGACTCTACAAGATGGCCAGCAGGGGAGGGTAGTTGGGAGGAAAAGAGTAATATACAGATTGACCATTACTCCAACATACAAGATGGCTGTCCCCATACAGTCAAAGATCCTGCTCCCATGTGGACACAACATGGTCACCACAAGATGGCCAGCAGGGGAGGGCAGTAGGGAGGGACCCAAGCCTGCAGGGTAAAGCAGTTGGGAGGCACCAGGCCTGCAGGGGAGGGCAGTTAGGGTTGACCAGGCCTGCAGAGGAGGGCAGTTAGTTGCAAACAGACTGGCAGGGGAGTGGTTAGAGGCTGATCAGGCTGGTAGGCAGAAGCGGTTAAGGGCAATCAAGAAGGCAGGCAGGCGAGCAGCTGGGAGCCAGCAGTCCTGGATTGTGTTTAGGCCCGATCCTACTGGGCAGTCAGACATCCTTTGAGGGGGTCCCAGATTGGAGAGGGTGCAGGCTAGATTGAGGGACAACCCTCCTGTGCATGAATATTATATGAATGACTGTACCGTTCAGCTCACAAATATTCACAAAACTTTGTAACACATACTCTTTACCTCCTAGGTTTAGCTTTTGTCAAAATACCAATTAATATTAAAAGAGCTAGACAGCAGAAAATAGTATTAGAGTAGTGTAAAAATTAGTATATATTATTATTATCTTTATTTATAGGACTACACTCCAAGCCTCCTGACAACAAATGAGTATGAAAGACGTAGTGGCATGATGCTCTAATTATGAAAGTTAAAACTGTACCATATTATGGAGAAAAGAGTGCAGAATATAATCAGGTTTGGCTCTGTCATTGGGTAACTCATCTTCCTTCTCTATATATTACTTTTCTCACCATAAAATGGAACTAATGCTTATCTTGCATGTTTACTCTGAAGTTGAGATAATGTATGTAAAAACACTTTAGAATGATCAATCACTATATTGATATATACCGTATTTTTCGGACCATAAGATGCACTTTTTCCCCCCCAGAAGTGGGGGGGAAAAGTCCCTGCGTCTTATGGTCCAAATATAGCCTACACATATACTTTAAAAAAAAAGTTTTTTTACTTGCCTGGCTCTGTATGGTCTCTGTGTGCTTGCCCGGCTCTAAAATGATTCTAAATGCTGCTGTTTACTTTACAGGGTTGATTACATGTGTTTATGACTGTGATGTTGGGTTTTAATGCACATAAAATATTTTAGGACACTATTTGTTTTAGAATCTTTTTTTCTTCATTTCCCTTCTCTAAAAACTGGTGCGTCTTATGGTCCGGAGCGTCTTATGGTCTGAAAAATACGGTATTATGTACTCCTATAAATCTATATACTAGTAAAATTATTCCCATGCAAGACTGCTACTATATAAAAACACTGTATTATATAAAATGGATCGACCAACAGGGCCTGAAAACCAAATTTGTCATGCAACCTGCTTTTTGTATAACCCACAAACTAAGAATGGATGTTATGTTTTTAAGTGACATAAAAAAATATATTTTGTGATGTATGAAAATCATATGAAATTCAAATTTCAGCCAGGACCGGTTTGGCTCAGTGGATAGAGCGTCAGCCAGCGGACTGAAAGGTCCTGGGTTCAATTCCGGGCAAGGACATGTACCTTGGTTGCGGGCACATCCCCGGTGGAGGGTGTGCAAGAGGCAGCTGATCGATGATTCTCTCTCATCGATGTTTCTAACTCTCTATCCCTCTCTCTTCCTCTCTGTGAAAAATCAATAAAATGTATTTTTTTAAAGAAATTCAAATTTCAATGTCCATAAAGTTTTATTGAAACATATCCAGATTCATTCATTTATTTATATATCAACTATGGCTATTTTCCTGATACAAGAACCAAGTTGAATAGTTGTGACAGAATTGCCTTACAAATCCTAAATATTTATTATATGCCCCTTTACAGAAAGTTTTCCAACTCAATTTAAAAGGTGGAAAAACTAGTGCAGGGTATACACACCAAGAACATTCACAGCTCAAGGACTTTTCATACTAATCACTTCCTTTGGGGAGACAATTTTCCACTGGTTTCTTATACTTCTATAGTTTTTCAAAAAGAGGTTCTGATAGCTTTTATCTTATAAATATATTTATCAGAAATGACCTTAAAAAATACATAATGTCTCCCTCCAGACCAGTGAGCCTGTTTACTGTCCATATAATCATGATGTCATCTCCCTCTAGAGCAGACCATGGTATTTTGTGGAAGAGCCACACTCAAGGGGCCAAAGAGCCACATGTGGCTCACGAACTTCAGTTTGCCAACCACAGTTCTAGAGCAAAGGTCAGACAGATAGATATGGTTCAAACCCCTATAAGAGAGAAGGGTTCTCTAAACTTGGGGTCCTCAGCTGTGATAAAAACCTACTTTGAGTGCAGAATCCACTTGAGACACTCACACCACCTTTTTGAGACTAAGAGCCAAGAAGAACCAACTTAAATATGAAGCTCATGCTGCTTGCTGTGCAATCCTATCTAATAAAAGAGTGATATGCAAATTAACCATCACATGGCTATACCCACAAGCCGCCAACCAGTCAATAAGAAGCAAGTATTCAAATTAATCCAACCAAGATGGCTATGGCCATGGAGAGAGCAGGAGGGAGGCTTGGGTTTCCTGGCAATGGAGGTAGCCAAGCTTCCGGTACATCCTGACTGGCCGAGGCCTCTGCCTTAAGGCTACAAAGTTTCAATTATAGAAGAAAAATAAATCCCAGATACCAGGGCCTCCGCTTGGGTCGCTGGGTGGCATGACTGATCTGCAAACCACCACAGGCCCCTCGCTCAGGCTGCCCAAAGGAACTACCACCCTGATCCAGGACACCCTTCAGGGCAAACCAGCTGGTGCCCACCCATGCAACAGGCCTCTATCCTAATAAAAGAGTAATATGCAGATTGACCATCACTCCAACACACAAGATGGCTGCCCTCATGTGGTCAAAGATCCTGCCCCCATATGGTCACAAAATGGCCACCAGGGGAGGGCAGTTGAGGGACCAGACAAGCAGGAGAGGGCAGTTAGGGGTGATCAAGCCTGCAGGGGAGGGCAGTTAGGAGTGACCAGGCCAGCAGAGGAGGGAAGTTGGTGGCAAACAGGCTGGCAGGGGAGCAGTTAGACATCAATCAGGCTGGCAGAGGAATGGCTAGAGGGTGATCAGGCTAGCAGGTTGATGCGGTTAGGGGCAATCAGGAAAGCAGGCAGGCAAGCAGTTGGGAGCTAGCAGTCCCTGATTGTGAGAGGGATGTCCCAGATTGGAGAGGATACAGGCTGGGCTGAGGGACACTCCCCATACCCCCGTGCACGAATTTTATGCACCAGGCCACTAGTGAGTAATAAAGTCTTTTATCTCTTATCCAGGAGTTTGTCTTCTGCCAAGATCCATGAAAAAATGGCAGGCTTAGATAAACTCTCAGACCTTTTACAATTCCAAATTGCAATACCAAGTAGCTAGCACAAGTCTCCAGGTTTATAGATCCATGTTCCGGTACAAAAAAAAAGAAAAAAAGCTAGAGGGTATTTGCCAGGAACGGAAA